CACACCCAGCTGAGCCTCCAACTTATGAAATGAAAATGCAGGAGGAGATTTCTGATCCTCAAAAACTACAGCATAGGAAATCTGCTAATGTGAGTAAAGTAGACCAGGGCCCACTCCAGGTTGGCAGCTGAACGTGGCAATGTAGTTCACATGGTGCTGGCTCTAGAGGCATCTTGCAAGAGTGAAGGGGTTATTGGTTCTTCCTTTGCTGGTTCAGAGAGCCACTGAGGCCAGGCAACATGCAGCAGGGGGTTCCTGCATAAAGAAGGCCCTAACAGACCATCATGAAAAGCTATGAAGATGAAACCTGGTTGGCAGTGGGGATCTCAAGATGCTAGAGCCTTGAAACATCTACCAAGGAGAGCTGCACACAGGAGGTGGTACCATTCTAGGAGAGAATTGTATATTGCATCAAACCATTCCAAGAGAGAATTATATATTGCATGAAGCAAAGCTGGAGGTACTGAGCCCTCTAAGCCCTTTGGAAGTCCCAGACATTGGACATGGAGCTACTGGATTTGGTGTTTGCCCTGCTGGTTTTCAGTCTTGTTTCTGTCCAGTATTTCCTCAGTGTTTCTTCACTCCTCCCTTTTAGAATGGGGATGTATATTTGTTCCCATTGTATGTTGAAAGTATGTGATTTGTCTGTTGATTTTATAGGGGTTTACAGTTAAGAAATTGCTTTGATTCTCAGAAAAGACTTTGGAATCTGGACATTTAAATAGTATTGAGACTGGTAAAGACTATGGGGACTTTTAAAGATAGACTCAATTCATTTTGATGATATGGTCATGAACCTGTGGGGGACAGAGAGTATAATGTGGGGGTTTGAGTGAGAATGTCCCCTATAGGCTCCAAATATTTGGACATTTGGTCCTATGTTGGTGGCACTGTTTGGGGAGGCTTTAGGAGGTACAGCCTTACAGAGGAAGCCACGTCACTGCAGATCGGCTTTGATAGTTCTTAAGCCTTGCCAGATTTCCAGTCTCATTCTCCATTCTCTGCTTGTTTGAAAATGTGTTTGATTAACTTTCTGCTCCAGCCACCTCTGCCGTCATGCCTCCCCTGCCATTATGGACTCTAATCTCTCCGGAATCCACATAAACTTCCTTCTATAAGTTGCCTTGGTCATGGTGTCTTGTCACAGCAGCAGAAAAGCAACTAATACAAGGTCCTTATGTGTTAACCTTACAATACTTCTTTCTTTTTGTGAGTTTAAAGCATTTCTGTCATTCACATAAAAGACAAAAGAAATAGTTTTTGAACGGAGTTATGCTTAACCTCTCATGTGCCTCATACCCTACATCTGATGCCTCAGCAAATCTTTCAAAGGTGTTCAGAATCTTTAAAGGATACTCAAAATCTGATCACATCTTACCCAGTCCAATACTCCTACCTCCATCCAGGTCATTGCAATTTTACCTCACTTATTGCAGTAAGCTTCCTGTTGGTCTTTTTGTTCTAAACTTTGTCCTCACAATTTTGTTTTGTTTTGTTTTCTTTGCTTTGTTTTCAATGGTGGGAATCAAGCACAGAGCACTGCTCCTTTAGACAATTCTACCAGCACAACTACTAAGCTACATCCTTCAACCCCCATAATAGTAATCTATAACAGCAACCAGACAGAGCATCTTAAAAACACTGGTTGGATCCTGTCAGTATTCTCTTAACTATTTCTTGGTCTCTCAACTCCAAGTAAAAGTCAAAGTTTCAAAATGACCCCAAAGCTATATATGATTTATTACTTGACTTCCTTTTTGATTTCCTCTTTAGTAGACTTCAGCTACATTGACCCTCCTGCTATGTAAGTGATCTACTTACACAGGGTTGTCTCCCTGGCTGATTTTTTTGTCTGCTGTGATGAATATCTATCACTGGCTTCCTTTCCTCCTCTAGCAAAGATAGAAACATTTTTATATTTCAAGTATTCACTCACATGTCACCATATTAAGTGTTCCTGGCCAACCTCAGCTATAGTCCTAACATTTTCTAATTTAATACCCTGGTTCATTTTTCTCCCTGAGACCACTGTTTAACATATTTTTCTGTTTTAATTATCTGCTCATTATCACCCTCTCTTTGGATTCCATGCAGCATAATAACCTGGGGGATTCTGTTTTGAGTTCATTACTAAACCCCAAGTGACTAAAATGCTGCCTTGCATTAGCTAAATGCTCTCTCTCTTTCTCTCTCTCTCTCCCCCTCTCTCTTTCTCTCTGTCTCTGCTGCCTAACAACATAACGTGAAAACAGCCATCTGAAACC